ATAATTTCAAACTTTTTTAATGTCAAAAGGAATCGCTTGGTAGATTTCATGCGTGCTCAGAGATATCGCAAAAAATTTTTACGAGTAATAATAGAAGAGTAATATACGCGTAAATACTAAATTAACAAATGTATTATTAAAGCAGGACTGTATTAATACACGTCAATAGTGTGTTTCCTCGAAACGCAATAAGCATTTTTCATAAAGAACACTGAGCACGGAAGCGATGTCGCGTTTCCCGATGCTAACTTTATTGCCTTGGGGAGGAGGGAGGGGGGGGGAATGAACTACAATACAATTGCAATGGAAAGTTCTGTGAAAAGAGATTCCGCCGTGCACGAGTGGAAATAGAAACTGACGGGCGCTTCTTCATGGCGCGATTAAGAAGATTCGGCTTTTTTTTTTCGAGAACGCTTCTTCAGCTCCGCTGATTGATCGTTGCGACGTCTGTCATTCTTACCCAACATTTTTTCTACTTTCTAATTCTCGCTGATGAATCGATCTTGCCTTCGAATCGGTCATTAACAAATCGCTTTCCAATTTAAAGCGAAAGATCGTGATGGTTGTTCGCTGATCGTTCGCATTGTCCTTTTTCCTGCTTGCTTCACGATGTACCTTTTATCAAATCGAACAAAGAAAAATCATCAAAGAAGATTGTTTTTTGAAAAGAAAAATACAATGTCACCCTTGCTTAAATAAAACGATTATGATAATAATTTAAAATCACGCGTAAAAAATTTCAAAGCTGATATGTATAAAGTTGCATGTTTTTATACAATAAATCAAAATGAAAATATTATAACTAACGCATTATCTTGTATTCCAATCAGCTGTACAAATATCATATCACCACGCATACGTCCAATAAAATCTCTCGAATAAATAACTCTTTGTTCGACGCAGCGATATACACTAATATCTGTATTATTTTCTACGCTTGGAAAATTTACGAATGTAAACGGAAATGGGAGTGCTATCTGAAACAATTAAAAGAATGGAAGAAAATGAAACGCAAATCTGTTAAAAAAAAATACTACCTCGACCTACACGAACGACGTTTTTTTTCAAATGATGGATTCGTTCGTGTAAAACGCGAACGCGACATCAGCGCGGAACATCAGCTGGGAAACGGAGCGTTTTACGCGAGCGTTGCGAACAACGGACGAATAACAACGGGCGGATTCGTTTCGTACGTACACAGATTTTCCGCGAGATACTCGTAACCGATGCGGGCCAGGCGGGCTTTTGCGATATCGATCACGAAACCGAAACCGCGGCCGATATCGAAGCGCGCCGGCTCGAGAAAGCCTCTCATTTCTCGCGCGCCGGCGGATATTTACAGAAAAATACAGTCAGAATTCGTTCGACCGAGGGGGCGCGGGCCGGGGGTGCCACTTTCGAATTAGCATTTCAATTTGCCGCGCAGGTGTCCCGCGTATCGCAACCGCGAGTCAAACGAGGACAATCGAGCCGAGCCGAGCCGAGGCGAGCGGAGTCGAGTCGTCATCCGCCACCTGACATTTTCGATGCAAAGCCGATAGCGGAGCGGAGAAGCGTGACATTTACATACATACATACATACGTACATACATACATATATGTACATACATGGATACAGGTACCACCGGTACTCAGCAGCGGTGTTTGTATCGTGTTCGTATCCGCGCTTCACGCTCCGACAATCCTCGATCGCTACTTTCGGCCGGATCGCATCTGATGAATCTCATCGAGTGAGCCGAATCAAATCGGCGACAGACAGATTCCGAGAATTTGCACCGAGAGGTCAAATTGCATCATTTGGAAAAGAAAAAGTTACATACGGTAGGTACGTATAACGAAAGTATAATTACTCGATCGTGATATATGGGAGTATTTTATCGCTACTTTAATTGAATTATTTGATCGATGTTTAGATAAGCATGAAAAATGTACGTTACGCCAATCGCGTTTCCGTTTTCACGAGTATACAGGGCAGATGATTTTCGGTATTTCCGGCATTGAAATACGAACTCACCAACCAAATTTACGCCGACTTGAATCCCACTGATCCGCGTTAAATTTCGCCGACGTGGCGTTCAATAGTAACCTTGATATTTCGTTTGTTCATGACAGCACTTCGTTTATTTACCAATAACAAATCATCGAATGTTGCAAATTTGTATGTAATTACAACATGACGCATTAAAGGAATTCTTTCGTAACACGATCGGCCTCTTTCTATTTATTTAAGTATCATTCATCATATTATTGTTAAAATATCAATAGATTTTTAATTCATTTTCAATGAAGTTTAAAATATTTCTGATATTCTATAAAAAAAGTTCATTTGAAATAAAAATAAAAATCTTAATCTAACTACTACGTCTTTTTTCTCAGTTTCCCTAATTTCTTATAATTAAATATAATTTTCAAAAATTTGTGTGCTTGTACGTATAAACGTTTATCCAAATAAAAATAGCTTTTAATTATTAGAAAATAAACTATTAGAAAAAATAGTTATTCACAAATAATTATTCTCACTATTTCAATATGCATAGAGTACATATTTATGAGAATATACTTAAGAATTCGTAAAGTCATAATAATCATAAAGAGATACATATTTCTTTTTTCTCAAAATCAAATATTTCATCTTCTAGTCATACTTATTTTCCTCTGTCTTTCGCGATGGAATCATTTTTGCAAGCAAGAAGACGAGATTATTATCGTGGAACAAAATATTAAACTATTCTTTATCGTTCTTTACCATGCGTTCACTTTATGGACGATCGACGTTTATATCTCTCTATGGTAGTATCGTCGCTGTATAAAAGAGGAATGAACGAAATGACGATCGACGGTGAAATATACGACAAAATAAATGTTCGGGATATAAAACTTACCGAAGGTAGCCGCGAAATGACCGACCGGTCGTTTTAAATGTCTTTAAATCAACTTACGCAATAACAGAATGAAAGAGAGAGAGAGAGAGAGAGAGAGAGAGAGAGAGAGAGAGAGAGAGAGAGAGAGAGAGAGAGAGAGAGAGAGAGAGAGAGAGAGAGAGAGAGAGAGAGAGAGAGAGAGAGAGAAGCGTCCCGAGTCCTACATACGGTACAAAAATAAGGCACAAGTCCCATAGGCGTCGAGTCGTTTCGCGAGCGTTATAGCGGCGCGCAATTACTTTGATTGGCGGCCAATTATTACGATGTGGCTAGTTTACTTTAACGAAAAAAAAATAATTATCAAAATGAACCTCCTGACGCGCCGTACGTTATTATCCCTATTGCACGCACGTGAGATTGGCAGGCATGCAGCTTTGGTAAATCGTCTCGGATTTGTTAATTATTAGCGTTGCCTTTTCCACTTAGATCTTTTCCACTTATCAAGCCGTGTCTGATAGATAAAAGCGAATTCCTAAGTTGACAGAGCGTAACACGAGAGAGGCGTCACAGCTCTACGATGTATTATTCGTGATTGTTAGTTAAGGGTTAGTTAAGGGGTTGACAGGGGAGATTATGGAGACTTCTGTCGTAAATGAAATTCTTTAATTAATTCTCATATTACAGCTAAGATACTGAAAGAATTGCAATATTCATAGAAAAAAATCGCCTATAAGATTTTTTTTTTTTTAAAGAAAAAAATCGCTCCTAATGCTAAAGAGCAATTTTTTCTAATAAAAATAAAATGCAGACAATTTTATTTTTATTATAATACTTTAAGAGTCCAATTACAAAATATGCAAAAAATATTCTTCTACGAGATAAAATATTAAACTCAAACGTGTATCTATATAGATAATTATTCAGATAATTATTCAGATAAGAAATAGATAATCTTATTGGAGTTGGCCCATCACTCCTGTCAACCCTTAAGAAAATAAATGCGCTCGCTTTAGTTACTACCGAAGACTTAAATATTAATATAGATAGATACTTTCCTATTTATATATTATACAAAATGGTGAAATTTAAATCTGTTTTTTCCTCGAAATCGAACCTGTAAACGATAATTTTAATCTACCTCGTGATTCTCTCGCTACGTTCCTTTTCCTCTCGATCGAGAGATTCCTCCGGAACGGCTCGGCCTGAAAACTTGCAGTTTAGAAATCTGGTCACCTTAATCGCGATTTAAAGGAGACTTTCGAGAGACTCGGGAGCAATAAGGAAAAGGTATCGTTCGTAACGGCTTGTTAAATGAAATATCGGGCGCGCGTTCACCTCGCGAGAGGCCGGAATCGGTTCTCCCGTATTTTCAACGGCACGTGCGGCTCATTATGGCGGCAGAACAACGGGCCTTCGTTACGAACAATACACGCCGCGATACCTCCTGTTATCGTTAAGCGGTCAGTACGGAGAACAGACGATTTTGCATTATTTCCAGTACTTTCGCGTGGAAAGACTCACCTTAGAGCTCGTTGTGTGGTCTTCATTCTCGGTTCTCGTTTTCCGCTTCAAATGGAATCTGCTGTCCTCTTTCTTCCTTTCTTGGCGCGATCGGTCTTCTCTCTCGATCTTTTTCACTCCGGTCTCAGCTGCTGTCCCGCCGATTCGTCTCGGACCGCGAAATTAAAACACCGGCGAGATGTGATTCGGTATGTCGGTTCGCGCGTGAACGTATTCACTTCGCTCGCGGCTGTTATGTCTCGGAGACACGAGTTATCACTAGCGAAAAACGAAAGCAGAAGAATATCGGCGAAGATATCCTCGCGCACTTGGATCACATCGGCATTTCACACGGCGAAGATCGCGAAAACCAAGCCACCAACGTGAGGAAGGTCACGCCTCCGGCCGTTTGATTTCTCGAGGTTTCCGGTATTCAGTAGTAACAACTCCGACGAAGTTGCGACAGAATGGAAGATATTGTTCCGGCGATTCCTTCGGAAATGCTCACGAGGATCGACGATGCGGTGTCATTCTTCTCCTTTCAAACGGAGGCGGTCGACGATAGACGCCTTCACCGAGACATCGCCGAGGTGTAAAAGAGCGCCGCGAATTAGATCAGTGGGACTCGCGGACGGCCGAGAAACTTAGGTCGCGAGCGGCGAAAGGCTTCGCAACCCGTCCTCCTCTGTCTTCCTCTACCGTTCCCTCTTTCTCCCCGAGTTAATCTCCGATTCCGCGGAGCTCCTCCATTCGCGCCCTTTGTCCTCGTTGTTACTCCTAAGTTCCTTCCTAAGTTCCTTCCACCTATTATTAGTCCTTCCAAACAACTCTAATCTCCCAAATTCCTCTTTTGGATTTATCTTGGGATTATCTTCCTGATCGAGTAACTTAAATATCTTTCTCTCCTCCCTCCAGGATTCCTTTCAGGGATCCAGATTTCCTTTTCGGAGCGAAGACTGATCTTGCCGCATCGGCTTCCTCGCTCATTCTATCGACCGAGAATTCGCTGACGCTGACCACGGGATCACACGCACGTCCTCGCGCATCACTCGCGCGACCCGCGTTTACTCGACTCGAGTAACGCGCGCGCGCGCGCGCGCGCGGCAGCGGCAACGGCAATGGCGAGGGTGCGGACGGTCGGCGAGACGCGGGCGTCGTGCGCCGACGCGAGCATCGCGCTCATCCGCGAACGAGACGGGATCGCCGCTAACCCGCTTTTACGATCCGCTTCGACGATAAAACACGTCGAGGTGCCCCACGCCTTCGATCCGCCCGGCGAACGTTCGAGTTCGTGCAGGCCGATCGGTGGTTGACTAGCCGCGTTACCGCCTTACCTGTTCCTTCCAGATCCGATCGGAGCCGAGGACTCCTAACACCTCGAAAAGAGGCCTGGCGCAGTTGGTATCGATGTAAAGGGAACACCTGTCGCCCTCCCTCGTAATCTCCGCGGGCGTTTTAAAAAAAGTTCCAAATATGGCGGCGGATGCGAACGCGGCCGGTGCCCGTTGCGATCTGATCTGCTTCCTACAGCCGATTTGTCGCGCGACCGGTCGGGAATCGATTTTCGAAAATTGTCGTGCTGCTCGTTTTCTTCTTCCTCTTTCTTCACGCCGATCGCCGAAAATTCTCGTGTGTGTCGCGAAGCAGGTGGTGGAGGCGCTGGGGCAGTTTAGCGCCGTGGGGCAAGCCTCCACGCAGGCCTCTTCTGTTCCGTGGTACGTGTTGGAGTCCGGCGTGTACGCGCGTACGCGAAGACTGGTTTCACGAGAGGCTCCCCCGTGCCCGCGACCGGCCAGACTACTTCGCGGACGATAGCACGGGACCGTCGAGCGTCCGGGCTGTGAGCGCGAGCGAGACCCGGTGCAGGTTCGACGCGGCGCGCCGCGCCGCAAGAGGTGAGCAGAGGAGTGGCGGGGGCCGGCGCACGCCGGCGGAGAACACGGTGGGTCCCGTTCCACGGAAAGAGGCTTTATTCCACTGAGCGCGGGGAAGTACTGTTACTTAGACAGGGGCCGCAACGCAGCGCGCCGCGACGCGGCCCGGTAGGCGCGTGCGCGCGCGGCGCCTGATTTTCGCGAAACAAAAACAAACAAGCATCCACTTCGAATGCGAGTCCCTTCCGCGCGTTTCGAAACGTAAACGGAACGTAACGATGGAGGGATATTAACCGCGTCCCCTTGCGATATTAACCGCGACAGGTGGCGTGGAGTACTCGTTGTGCCTACGACTCGAGTGACTTTCGACTCGACGATTCCCCTTTTGTCTCTCTCCCTCTCTCTCTCGTTCTCTGTGTCTGTCTCGCTCTTGCGCAGCACCGCGCGAAGCGTCAGGGCGAGAGGCGTTTAATTAAGAATTACGTCCGCGATCGTCGTAGCTGGACAATGCATCGTAGCCTTCCCTCCCGAGCGGAGAGAAAGCACGGGCGCGAGGGAGGAGTGGATGGTGGACGCGGCGCCACCACTGCGGTTCGTAAACAAACAGCGTCTCGCGCGGTGAATGTTTTGGAGTAACCGCCGTTCGTTCTCACGTGTAATCCACGACGTTGCGTGCTCGGACGTGCTACGTATGCTCGCACGCACGTACGCACGCACGCATGCATGCACGCAAGTACGCACGCACCTACGGTATACGCGCGCGCGAAAGGACACCCTCCCCCCGGGGGTTCTGACTCCGCCACCTGATTTACACCGAAAAGCATCCACGTGCGGATGGACGCGATTCAGCCGGCGCTCTCGCGTGTCCGCCGCTGCTTCGTCTCGACACGTTCTCGTTTCTCAAAGCACCGAGAGAGCGTCCTCACATGTGTGAGTCCACGCGCGTGTGCCTGGCCAAATATCTCTCTTTCTCTTTCCCTCTCCCCCTCCACACCACACGCCGACTGTCGCGAAGCGCGCGATACAACACGAAACGTATACACCGCTCGGCTGTCGCGGCTCGACTGGACGACCGACCACCTCCGCTCCGTTGCTCGTCGCGCTCACGCTCGTAGCGTGCGCGCCGGTGCCCCGTAACTTGTACTACCTCAAGTTAATCGGATAAAATAGGTGAGGAGAGGATTCCTGATCCGGATTAAATTGCGTGCACGAGAAAACTCATTTTATATTTTTCATTGATCCTGGATTGCTTGAAATAAATTTAGAAAAATTTAATACGTTTACCCCGTGTCGTGTATCTTGGATACAAAATATCAAATTGGAAATAATTAAAGTATTGATTGTTTTTGAAGTTTATGTTTCCTTATTCAATTCGTCTCATATAAACACGCTAAAACCAATTGAATTAATGCATTAGGAAATATTACTTTTTCTTTTACTATTCTGAAATTAATATTTATTATTAAGTATCACTTTTAAAAATTTTCTATATTACGTGTAAATTACCTATGTCACATAATTTTTTAATTAATAACAATATATGTCAAGT